TAATAAAAAAAAACTATTTTATGGAATATTTCTTTCGAAATTTTAAAATCAATTAAATTTTCATATAGAGTTTGAACGTAGAGGCAGTTCTCATACAGTGAAAGCACTGTGCTGATTGGCTTAAAAATTTCAAATATAAATAATCTCACCTCAAGTGAGAGAATTCAAATATAAGAAATCACAAAATATTTAATAAGTTTTTATCTACATTGCATCCAGAGTCTAATCATGTGTTGTATTATTTAAATCAATTAAAAATAAATTTATTTGATGTCATTGACGAAGATGCTAATTATTTTCATTTAATACAAGCACTAGAAATGCACAAATGTTTTAAAAGTTTATCAAAAGAAAATGTTAGTTCAGAAGTTATTTGCTCATTTTGAAAATATTTAAAAAGAGATACAGTGATACAGTTCATTCATTGAATACCTTCTAATACCACGCCCAACAAGTAATTCAAAAATTTTAATGAAAATGTGTGCCCAACGAAATCTTTTTTTTTTAAGTTTTTTTTTAATGTCAATGAGTTGACTTTGTTTCGATACTATTGTCAATTTGTTTCGAATGATTTCTCAGATAATGAATAGCAGTAGCTAAATATGGAATCTAAAGAAGAAGAAAGCATCACTTTTTGAATTAGAAAGTTATTTTTTAAGTTAGAAGTAGAAACATATCAACGACCAGCTTGAAAGTATGTCTGCGAAAAATATCTCTGTAAAAAATTGGTCTTGATTTTTTTTGCATAATAATATACATATTGTTGCAAGCCATAATTAATGTCAGTAGCGCCATCTAGTATCGAGTAGCAGTACTAGGAGAACTTTCTAGAAAATTCCACGCTAGAACTATCCCACTAGCGCCAACTAGTATCGAGTGGAAGAACTAGAAGGGAACTTTCTACACTTAGTCAGTTGGGACTGGTATGTATGTGGTATGTGCTCGAACATTCTAGATTTTTCAGAGGAAACGGCCTTTATAAGGCCAGTAAAAAGCGTGACCGAGGCAGTATTGAATTGGCAATGAAGCGAATACATCGAAGCAATATAACTGCGAATTGTGTTTTATTATTAGTGTGTTTCAAGTAGTAATTGGTAACAAAAGTGTCAATTTTGGTAACTCAATCGGCATTTATTACTGACACAAACCCTAATCTCGTAACAACTGGTATCAGAAGTAGGATAAAATCATGGCAATTTTACCCAAGGACGATACGGAGGGTGTCCGTACCCGAAGTCAACACCAGCAGGAGACGGTCCAGAGGTAATTTGGTGGTGCCACCGGCCACGGAGGCCAGCTCGTCAGCAGCTTCTACATCTGCAGCACCTGACTTAGGTACTCTGATGATGATGTTGCAGGAACAGGCCCGTCGGTTGGAAGATCAGCAGTTGGAACAAGCTCGCTGATAGGAGGACCAGGCCCGTCTGTTGGAAGAGCAGCTGCAGCGCGGAAAAGAGGATCAGGCCCGTCGGTTGAAAGAGCATCAGGAAGAAAAGGCCCGTCGTTTGGAAAAACAGCTCAAATGCGATAAGGAAGAGCAAATGCTCCTCATGAAGGACCTTTAAGCTAACTTCAGGAAAGAGATAAGGGAGGTGAAGGAAAGGGTTGTTCAATACGACTACCGCCTGTCAGAAGCTGAAACCCGAATCGACCAAGTGAACAACGTGATAATTGACATGAATAAAATGCTGGACGACCTCAAACTTAGGGATAAGTTACAGCTCCCGTAGTAGCTACAACACCTTCGCTATATGGATTCAAAGTGCCACCGTTCGACGGGACTTCTTCATGGTCGACCTACAAAATCCAATTAGAGGCTGTCATGAAAAACAAGGACAAGGCTGATTCGAGGCAAGTCAGTCACTTGAAGTCTTGGAGGTGAGATATGACGACGCTCACCTGGAAGACGTCTTTCGTGGGCAGCTTAAAGATTGCGTGGAACGCAACAACGAAAAACTGCAGCTGCGGGCCCTTGAGGTGGAGAATCTCGTTCGAAAAGCATACTGGTTTCTACCTAGGCTCATAGAATGGATCCTCGTGCAGACAATTGTTGACGGCATCCGTGACCTTGAAGTCACAACTTGTGTTAGGCTCGGGTACCACGATACGCTTAAGGACGCCTTGACCCATGCATTGGAGGTGGAAGCCGTGCGGCAGGATCATCGTTCCCATCGCGTCAGGGACGTTGCAGCAACTACAGTTTGCGACCGCAATAAAGGATACCCTACCTTCCTTACACCTAAGGCTAGGTGCCATGGCTGTGGGGAAAAGGGCCATCTACGATCCAGCTCCCCTAAGCGAACTGTATAAAGGAAGGTGATCGATCTCGAAAGGGTAGTGCGGCTAACAGCACTGCCACAGCGCAGAACAGTAAGCCAGGACTGCAGAGCGAGCTCTGGCTGATGGTAAAAGAACCCCAAGGATCTCGATCTCACAAACCCATAATGGAAACAGCCTAATCATCAAGGGCGAGGTCAACGGAATGCCATGTAAACTAACCACAGACAATGGAGCCTCTCGAACACTTGTAAGTTTCCAACTTATAAGTCAGTTCCGTGGGGACTCTACGTACAACAAGAACGCATTAATTGGGTAACAGCCACCGGTCAGCCCATACCCGTCCGTGGAGAGAAGGAGATGGAGTTGTTGTTAGGCAACATGATCTACCTGTATAATGTCATCGTGGCTGATATAATAGACGACTGCATTCTGGGCCTAGACTTCATGAGGAAGAATTTTTGTGGGATCGACGTGAAGCAACATGTTTTGAAATGTGGACAGGAGGAACTTTTTGTCGAAGGGGCGTTACCAGAGAATTTTTACAGCCTTAAGAAGATTTTTCTTTCGCCGAAATCGGGAACGATTGTACCGATTAGTCTTCCTCGGAATCCTGGGCAAGCTCATCGTTGTGTACTCGTGGAAAGAGTAGACAATGACCTTCCATGGAAAGTGGCTCGAACCTTGGTCAAAACCACTGACATCTCGGGACAACGTGTGCTGAACCTTTTTAATCAGGATCAGATTATAGAAAAAGACACACTGGTTGGTACTTGTAGGGAAGTGGATTAGTTGCGTCGGTGCCAATATCTATTAAGTAAGACTCCCAGCAAGAATGCACTAACTAGAGTGAGTACACTTTTAGACGACTGTCGTAGCGTTCTCTCCCCGAATGAAATGGTCAAGGCGAAGAAGTTGTTACTCAAGTACGCCGATGTTTTCTCGTCGAACGTTGCTATCATAGGGAAGACTGGCTTAGTTAAACACAAAATAAACACAGGAGAAAAATTGCCTATCCGTCAGTGGCCAAGAAGACCGTTGGTAACACGAGAAAAGGAAGGGGAAAACATGATTAAGGAAATGGTGAACATCCTTCACCATTCCCTTAATCATGTTTTCATTCTGTGTCATTGAACCTTCATCTAGTCTTTGGTGTTCACGTGTGGTGCTGGTAAAGAAGGAGGACGGCACCATGCGGTTTTGTGTTGACTACCGCCGTCTGAACGACGTTACGAAGAAGGACAGCTATCCCTTGGATAAGCTTCATTTTCGACAGGGAAGGGTCTGTGGATTTTTTTAATTTAAAGTTATGCCGTTTTGATTGTGCGATGCTCCGGCAAAGTTTGAAAGGTGATGGGATGATGGAACTTGTACTTACTGGGCTAATTGGCGGTGCCTGTCTGGTCTACTTGGATGACATTGTCATCGTAGTCCGTACGTTTGAGAAACACCTTCAAAACCTGCAACGCGTGCTTATGAAGATCCAAAGTGCCAACTTCAAGTTGAGTTGGAAGAAATGTTCACTATTCAAACGGCAATTTAGTTTGGGGTATGTAGTGTCGGAAGAAGGTATCCGCACGGATACTGAGAAAAGTGCCGCTGTCAAGAATTGGTCGGTGCCAAAAGACAAGACGTAATTTAGAGCATTTTTGGATTTGTGCTCCTATTATCGGCGATTTGTGAAGAAGTTTGCAGATAAGACAAACCTCTTCACAAGCTAATCGAGTGATATAGGACTCGGCGGTGTGTTGTCTCAACGGAATGGTTATCAAGAGGTTGTGATAGTGTTGCGCGCCATAATTAATGGCTAGTAAATGCTACTAGCGCAATATAGTATTGAGTAGCAGAACTAGGAGAGCTTTCTAGATAATGCCATGCTTGAACTTTCCAACTAGCGCCATCTACTATCAAATGGCAGAACTAGGAGAGATTTTCTACTCTTAGTTGGTTAGGGCCGATATGTGCTCAACCATTCTAGATGTTTCATTGGAAAAGGTCTATATAAGACCAGCGAAAATGCCGACCGAGGCAGTATTCAATTGGCAAGTTAAGCAATTACTTCGAAGCGATATAGTTGCGAACTAAGTGTTAAGTGTGATGAATAATTATTAGTGTGTTTTATGTTGTAATAGGTAATTAAAATGTCAATTTTCGTAACTTAATAGGCCGTTTTAACTGTCATGAACCCTAAGCTCGTAACAACATATTATAATATATTGTACCAATATCGCATGTTCCCACAAAGTCATGCTTTTAGATAGTTATTCCTTCCTAGCATGCCATCCTAATCCACAAAAGTGAAAACTCATGTGTAGCCTTTTTGTTTGCAGTTGGTTACATATGTCCATAGACTAGAGTAGCTTTTAGTAGTAGCACTTACCATCAAGTGAACTGTATGTCGCTTCTACTACCGAAAAATAAATCTAGAATCAAGTAGTCAGTTTAAAAATATTTGTGAAACACTATTTGAATGAGTGGTTTAATCTATATAAAATTTATGACACGTATATACTTATCTTAAATTATTATGCTATCTTAAATTATTATGCTTAAATGAAAAGTGTATAGATGTAAGTAGTTTTATCGATAAAATGATAAACGAACATGTAGATTTATACATGAATAATAATATTACAACAAAGTCATCCGTGTGACAATGTGCTGTTTGTAATATTTTAATAGTTTTATATTAAAAGATATAAGTTGTATATTGAAAAAAGAAAATGAATACTAGTGATAATCAAGATCATACAATTGAATTTACGGAAAAAGATCCTCTAAATGAAAATTTTGAAAAACCCAAACCAGTAGAAAAAAAGACAGTTAAAGAGACGCTTTTGTATATTTTTAACAATGTGACTGTAGAACCAACAATGTTCCTTTTTGTGTCACCAGCTCTTTTAACTATATTGACGTCACAGAACTTCGGTCTTGAAAAAGCTTGTCGCGTTAATCTTAACTTTACAACAGAAATATGTGATTCTCTACGAGCGCAAAATATAGAAAGCCAAAATGAATTTGAAAGGGACACACAAAAATTATTTACATACTTTATGGCTTGGAAGACTTACTTGTCTTCAGCTATTCCTTGTGCTTTAGCTCTTTTTATAGGGTCATGGTCTGATAAAACTGGGCGTAGAAAAGTTTTTATACTCATACCTATTGCAGGACAAATTCTTGTTTGCATCAATGGTTTGTTGAATACATACTTTTTTTGCGAGCTCCGTCTGGAACATTTTGTGTTAATTGAAGGACTTTTAGAAGGCTTTACGGGTGGTTGGTGTATTAGTTTTGTGGCGATCTATTCATATATTAGTGCTATCACAACAACTGAAACGAGAACGTTTCGTATGGGGTTAGTAAATTTCAGTTTCTCAGTAGCGTTTCCAGTAGGAATGAGCCTTAGTGGAATATTCCTTAAAAATTATGGATTTTATGGTTGTTATGGACTATCATGTGGTCTGCACGCTGCAAACTTTATCTACAATTTCATTTATTTAAAGGATACTGCAAAAAGTGAGGATCAGAGACAGGTAATCTGAGTGAACATTTTATATTATAAAACAGATATTTAATAGGTAGCAGGGGCGTTCAATAAAAGTGTGAAGAAGTATGTAACAGGTGCAGTGCAGGTGTAGTGGAAGTGCAATGTATAAACAAGCCATATTATCCCAATCGTGTCTTAAAAGGCAATTGAGGGAAACTGAAACAGGAGATATGCGGCAGCATGTTACCGATAACAATTAAAAATAACAGAAAACTGGTGCAACCAACTTACCTGCCAAGCGTGGTAATTATGAGGAATCATTGTATTTTTATAATTAGGTTTGTTTTTTTGTTTTTTTTTATAGCATTGGGCATCAAACGAGCACACAGTCCACCTGGTGGTAAGTGTATGCTGTGCCCATAGACATCCACATTTATCTTCAATTAAGGATCAGAATACAAATGCGTTGTCACCCCCTGAGGACTAAGATGGGATGCCTGGATTCCAGTAAAAAAGGTTTCCCGTTCCTTACACTCATTATACGACACACAGCAGCATTACGCTGCCATTTTACGCTGGTATTCTGTGAGAGTGTGGTCCTACCCCGGTCAAGCAGACCCATTCGTGCTGCAACTATAATATAGCTGCAGCGTGGCTCTACCACGTAAAAAAAGTTTAAATATTTCTATCGCAACGGTATTCCTTTGAGTCACGGCATTATTTATTATTGGTGAAACAACACAATCTTTGCTACGTTGCCTCGCCATTTCTCGTGGATTTGGTTTTGTTTTTATTGTCCTGTACAAAAAGTAATTTTTTATACAACATAATGTTTAAGCTTAATCAGCCAGTATTTACTTTTTTAATTTCTAAAAACTTACTTCTACATTTTCATTTACTTTTGAACGCTCCTGCTTTCACATTATGTGTTTAAATTAAAAAGTTTAATACATGCATAAATATGAACTAGTATTAAAAATAGCTGTGTATCTTTGAGTGACTAAAACGTTAATTAGTTTCTCAAGGTCCAATTTTTATAAAAATCATTTGAAGAATAATTATATTTGTAAAATATTGTTGCATGAATAAGTCAACTAGCGCCATCTAGTGTCAGGAACGAGAGCGAGGGGAGCATTGAGAAAATGACATCACAAATCACTCAACTGACAGCGCCTAGTCGAAACTCGAACGCTCGGTACTTTGCCCGTGTTTACTTGAACATTCTGGATATTTCTTTGCTAATTTAAATATATAGGCGCTGCAAGATGCGATCGGGGCAGAGTGAACTCGGCGACACAAGCGAAGCTTCGGAGTGGAATTAAGTGAATTAGTGTGTTTAAATTATTAGTGTTTTAACTCTAATTGTGTAAAGTAAATTAAAGTGTTAATTTAGGTAATTTTATCGGCAATTTTTATTGTCACGAACCTCAAGCTCGTAACAATTGGTGTCAGAAGTGGGATAAAATCATGCCGATTTTACCTAAGGAGGAAACGGAGGGTGTCCGTACCCGAAATCAACGCCAGCAGGAGACGGACCAAAGAAGATTTGGTGGTGCAACGCCGCTGACGTCGGAGGGCCAGCCGCCGGCTGCAGGCCCGTCAGTAGCTCCTCCATCTGCAGCACCCGATTTAGGTGCTCTGATGGTGATGCTGCAGGAACAGGCTCGCCGACAGGAGGAACAGGTCCGTCGGTTGGAGGAGCAGCTGCGGGGTGGACAGGATGAACAGGCTCGTCAGCAGGCGGAACAGGTCCGTCAGTTGAAAGAGCAGCTGCAGAGCGGACAAGAGGAACAGGCCCGCCGACAGGAGGAACAGATGCTTCTCATGAAGGACCTTCACGCTACCTTCGGGAAAGAGATAAGGGAGGTGAAAGATAAGGTTGCTCAACATGAAAACCGCCTGTCGGAAGCTGAAACCCGAATTGACCTAGTGAACAATCGGGTTGACAACGTAATGGCTGACATGAGGAAATCACTTGACGAACTCAAACTTGGCGAGGGAACTTCAGTTCCCGTAGTAGCTACTACACCTTCGCTACGTGGGTTCAAGGTGCCACCATTCGACGGGACTTCTTCCTGGTCAGCCTACAAAATCCAGTTCGAGGCTGTTATGAAGGCGAACGGCTGGAATAAAAGTCAGGCCATGACTGCTCTCACACTAGGCCTGCGCGACCAGGCCTTAACAGTTCTGGAAGCTCTCGGTGAGGAAGTGACTTATGAGCAACTCCTTGAGGCATTGGAGGCGAGATATGGCGACGCTCACCTGGAACACGTCTTTCGTGCGCAGCTTAAAGATCGTGTGCAGCGCATCAACGAAAACCTGCAGCAGTGGGCTCTAGAGGTGGAGAAGCTGGTGCGAAAAGCTTACCGGTCTGTACCTGCGCTCATTAAAGGGAACCTGGTGCAGACATTTATCGACGGCATCCGTGACCTGGAAGTCAGAGCTGCTGTGAGGCTCGGGCACCACGAGACGCTTAAGGACGCCTTGGTTCATGCACTGGAGGTAGAAGCCGTGCGGCAGGATCATCGTTCCCATCGCGTCAGGGAGGTTGCAGCCGCTACAGTTCGCGACCGCAACAAAGGATACAGCCCAAGGTGCTATGGCTGTGGGGAAAAGGGCCATCTTCGATCCAGCTGCCCTAAACGAACCGTGGAAAGGAGAGTTGATCGATCTCGAGAGGGTAGTGCAGCTAACGGCACTGCCTGGCGGCGACAGGATCATCGTTCACCTCACGCTAGGGAGGTTACAGCAGTTACGGTTCGCGACCACAATAAAAGATACAGCCCTAGGTGCTATGGCTGTGGGGAAAGGGGCCATCTTCGGTCCAGCTGCCCTGAGCACACCCTACGAAGGGAAGGTGAACGGTCTCAGAAAGGAAGTGCGGCTAACAGCACCGCCCAGCAGCAGCAGGAATACGACTTTACTATCAGACACTGCAGCGGGAAATCTCATGGCAACGCAGATGCATTGTCAAGAAGACCTTGTCCTGAAGATTGCAAACATTGTACTAGGCAAGAGAGTAAGGAAGTGGTATCCGTGAGGATGCTCAGGGCAGACCACCTCAGCAACGAGTGGAAGGACAGCTTACTACATGCACAGCAGGAAGATCCGGACATCAAGCCGATTCTGGAATGGATAAAGGCCAGTGCTCCCAAGCCCAAGTGGAGTGACGTCTCAGCGATGAGTTCGACCACTAAAAGCTACTGGGCCCAGTGGGACAGCTTGCTGCTTCAGGATGGAGTTCTGTGTCGTAAATGGGAAAACGTTCGGGGAGACAGCTGTCATTTGCAAATGGTTGTCCCTAAAGTTAAAGTACCGGATGTTCTACAGCTGTACCATAATGATTGTTCAGGAGGCCATCTGGGAGTTAAACGAACTCTACTGAAGATCCGAGAACGGTTTTACTGGGTCCACTGTCGAAACGATGTCGAGGACTGGTGTCGCAAATGTACAAGTTGTGCGGCTGTAAAGGGACCTCAGACTCGTAGTAGAGGTGCATTGAAGTTGTACAATGTTGGTGCACCATGGGAGAGAATAGCCATTGACGTGGCGGGGCCGTTTCCGGAGAGTGAAAGCGGTAACAAGTATTTCATGGTTGTGATGGATTACTTCACTAAGTGGCCAGAAGTCTTCGCCATTCCAAATCAAGAAGCTTCAACAGTTGCAGATAAACTAGTTCATGAAGTCTTCTGTCGTTTTGGAGTACCTTTAGAGATTCACAGCGATCAAGGAAGGAATTTTGAGTCTCAAATATTCCAGGAAACTTGCCGAGTTATGGGTACTCATAAAACAAGAACGACTTCTTATCACCCGCAATCTGATGGAATGGTGGAACGATTTAATCAGACATTGGAGAGGTACCTAGCAAAAGTTGTAGACAATCGGCAACGAGATTGGGACAAGCACATACAACCGTTTTTGTTGTCATATCGAAGTTCTGTTCACGAAAGTACAGCAGTGACACCAGCTTTCGCAAACTTTGGAAGAGAATTACGGCTGCCTGCGGACCTGATCACCGGGATACCATCTGATGCCCCACGCAGTATAACCGATTATGCAAATGACTTGCGGAACAAAATGAATGACGTTTATGAGCACGTCAGACAATCGGGCCAGCAAATGTCTGAAAAGATGAAAACCCGGTATGACCGCAAAATGAACAACAAAGGGTTCGACGAAGGTTCACTTGTGTGGTTGCACAATCCAGTCCGCAGCAAAGGGAAATCTCCTAAGCTTCAAGCTAAATGGGACGGCCCGTACCGTATTGTAACCAGGATCAACGATGTGACCTACCGGATACAGAAAGGCGCAAGAGGGACTCCTAAGATCGTCCATGTGGATCGCTTGGCGCGTTATTATGGGACCGATAATGCTCGGGACGAGCATGTCTTAGGAGGGGGGCAGTGTTGCATGAATAAGTCAACTAGCGCCATCTAGTGTCAGGAACGAGAGCGAGGGGAGCATTGAGAAAATGACATCACAAATCACTCAACTGACAGCGCCTAGTCGAAACTCGAACGCTCGGTACTTTGCCCGTGTTTACTTGAACATTCTGGATATTTCTTTGCTAATTTAAATATATAGGCGCTGCAAGATGCGATCGGGGCAGAGTGAACTCGGCGACACAAGCGAAGCTTCGGAGTGGAATTAAGTGAATTAGTGTGTTTAAATTATTAGTGTTTTAACTCTAATTGTGTAAAGTAAATTAAAGTGTTAATTTAGGTAATTTTATCGGCAATTTTTATTGTCACGAACCTCAAGCTCGTAACAATATGAATTAAGAAAATTTGTGATTATTTCGACATCTGTGAAATATGATGGATCATTTTCACTGGACTTTTGTGATGATTTTCTTCATCATCAGACTATTAACGTCCAATGCTGGACACTTGCCTCTCCTATTATAGGGAATATTATCCGTAATTTTTACCTCGGCAAGCGGATGAACATCACACAAGGTCTTAGATCACAACACACAGCATAACATAAACACTCACACCTACCCAGAGGGTTAGGCAGAGACTATAGACTTCCATTTAAAACGATCCTGACATACTTCTATCGCTTCCTCCACATCAATATACATGCTCGTCGGTTAAGGGTACTCTTAATTTGGCCCATTTTTAATATATCCCCAATTTGGTCGACAAACTTTCGCCTGGGGCGTCCCTTTCCAACTCTTCTATTCACTTCTGTCACATATATTTGCTTTTCTAGTCTTTCCTCATTTGTTCTTTATACATGACCAAACCACCGAAGCATTCTTTTCTTAACTCTGGTTGTAAGTGGATGCTGTGGCTCATAGACATCCACATTTATCCTCAATTAAGGATCAAAATGCAAATTTGTTGTCACCCCTGAGGACTAAGATAGAATGCCTCGATTCCAGTAAAAAGGGTCTTCGGTTCTCTACTCACTGAACATAGTACTAGGGTGTATAATATACTGATAGCCTGTAGTAGTGATGATGATTGATAAATTACTAATCAAACAATATCAATGTAATAACTGACACTAATATGTTTCACGATTAAAAGTACAGCTACAGGCCTCTTTTTATTTCTGAGAGGTCTTAGGTAAGGAAATATCCGCCGCGTTGCCCCTATGCGTGTTGACGAACTTCAAGTGTATTCGAAACTTTTTCACGATATTTTCCTTCATCACTAAGCACTAAATATTTCAATTAAAATTTCTTTGGTGCTGGTGGGGATCGAACTCGGGCTGCTCACGTAACGTAAGATTTACAGCAAACACTTATCTCCTGAGCTACTACAACTCTACATTTACTTTCACGACTAACTAATTATAAAAATATTTTAATTATTTCAGGTAGACGGCGGGGGCTTCCGTAAATTTTTCCGCGAATTTTTTGATCTAACAAATGTAAAAGAAACATTTAAAACAATATTCAAACAAGGTTCTAACAATAGGAGAGCACGAATTATCATTCTGCTAATTGTGGTTGCTATATTGTTTGGTCCTATTCATGGTACATACATATATTACTACAAATTAAGTTTTACTGTAAATTAATTTCATTTCATTAATACCTATCCATACTTAGCACTTTTTTATATTTTTTAACTATCACAACGAAATAATTTTATATTACTATATTAAATTTTTGAATATCTATTTCACTCCTTTCATCTTTTGTGTGGCCATTATTCATTTATGTTAAATTTTGTTTTAGGTGAAATAGCAACTTTATACATATCAACTAGATACAGATTCAACTGGGACGAAGTCAAATTCAGCATTTTTCAAACTTATAATTTTGTAACACATACTATAGGTAAATTTTATTACTATATTATAAAATACGGTTTACGGTTTGAGACATTTATTCCTCACAAAAAGCTTCACTTACCATGAGAAATCACAGGTAATCGTAGATACTAAATACATGAACCTATGAAGAACAGCAGGTACATGTAAATGGTTTATTATGTAGTGGATATGCACTTAAATTTTTGTGGGTAACAAGAAAAAAGTATATATTTAAGTACATATCGTTATGGAAAGTAAGTCTATACCATTACACTTTGTTCATATTTGCAAGCTTTGTAATTAAATTCAAAATATAATTAAATTTATATTTTATGCTATCGCGAAAGTGTGTCCAAATCTTGCTGTGCTTGTATAATAATCTGCTCGATGTCATTGCTAAATAAAAATAAACTAATGTCGTCAACATATAGTATCATATCACTTGCGAGGTTAAGATTATGTATCATTTATTTTGAACAGTAAGCGGCCAAGAATAGAGCCTTATTGTACTCCGAAGGTTAAAGATTCGCTATTACTTTCTATATCACCAATCCGAACAATTTGCTATCTGTTAAAGAAATATGACCAAAACATGTAGTGGGCAGTTTCCCGATGCCGTTTCAATAAGCAGCTGGATAAATATACCGAGTGCTGCGCATTTTTCATCAATATTATTTTTCAGCTCTGTCACAAGGTCGATTGTTGAAGTTAGTGTATTAGATTGTGTGCAAAACCAGATGGATTATAGCAAAAGAAATTAATAGTTTTAAGATAATTAATTATATATGCGGTTATATAATATATTCTAGTATTTTTTAAGGACTGAGATAGCTTAATAACTCCCTGGGTCGATCTTTTTTCCTAACCTAGAAATTGGACTCACTTTTGCTACTTTAAGAGAATCGGGTAAGAAAACATTTTGTAAACAATACATATTCGTTGTTAATTTGTTTGGTATCGTTTTTAATATATTTAATGGTTTTGTAACTAATTGCGCCAAAGCTCAGATTAGTGTTTGGATTAAGATTATCAACGATTTTGCCAACTTACTCTGCCTTGGTTGGTGTTAGATACAGTATTTGGGCGTTTGAGAGCTAGGTTGTGTAAATGAATTTTTCGTACGTGTTTAAATTTTAACTCCTTATAGTAATAAACAGCAAATAAAGTATAGAGATAATTAAATATTTCTTTAACAGCTGTCATTATCATCATCATTACAACCCCTAACAAGTTCACTGCTGAACATAGGCCTCCCCCAAAGAATAATACAAAGCGCGGTCCTAAGCCACCTGCTTCCATCGAATTCGTGCATATCTTTTTAAGTCGTCACCCCATCTAATAGGAGTCGCCCTAAACTATACCTACCGCTACGAAGCTGATACTCGAGAACGTTTTTTCCCCATCGGTTGTCGGTTCTTCGAGCTATACGGCCCCATTATCACTTCAGCTTACTAATACTTCGGGTTATGTCGGTCAGTCTGTTTCTCTGTCTGTTTAAGAAATCCCGAGCATAGCCCTATCTGCAAGTTCGCTTAGCGATCTTAAGCGTTCTCATACGAGCAGCAGTGAGTGTATTAGATTCATAAGTCATCACTGACAAAACACTGGTTGTACAATCTCATATTTAAGTTTTGAGTTATACCTGACGAGAAGATGCTTCGTAATTTCCCGAAAGCTGCCCGGTGGAGTTGAATCATGATGACCCCTGAAAATCGTAAAAACTTCCAATAACTACCAGCATAGGTGTGACATGGACGTTGAACATGATATTTATTTTGTCCATATTAATCTTAAGACCTATCCGTTGGGAGGCACTATTGAGGTCATTGAGCATAGTGCTTAGGTCCTGCAGGGATTCTTCCATAAGGACTATATCTTCGACAAATCGAAGGTGAGCGATGTACATGCAATTAATGTTAATACTGTTTCCTTTCCAAACCAGTAGCTTGTAAACGTCTAAGAAAGCAGCGGTGAAAAGTTTCAGGGATATAACGTCATCCTGTGTTACATCTCTTCGAAGTCGCATAGGTTTCTTACTCTAGTTCTGTACTCAGATAACCATCGTAGCCTTACAGTACAAATACTTCATCAACACTTAAATACCGGCAGTCAACTTTACACTGAAGGCTTTCTCATAGTCCACATACGCAAAGCAAAGGGGCAAATTGTACTCTTCGTTCTTCTGTATAATTTGCCGCCGGGTATGTATGTGGTCTATGGTACTAAAGCCTTTTCGGAAACCAGCTTGATTGGAAGGCTGGAAGTTGTCGAGTCTTTCTAGAAAAACAAGATCACCGCACTTCTGTTCCACGCCTCCGGTGTAGTGCCACCATGAAGGACGTAATTGAAGAGCTTCTGAAAGATTTTAGCTACCCGGTTTTCCAGCCGCTTTCAGGAGCTTCCCTTTGATTCCATTCTCGCTTGGGGCCTTACCGGTTTTAAGGTGCTGGAAAGCCCTTCTTATCTCGCTCAGACCGTCGTCCGGGATATCATCGCAATAGTGTCGGATAAGGCTTGCTCTTGGATTGTTACTCAAACTTGCATGTACTAACCATGACGTGTGTAGCTGCTCGCAGAACCTTCCAATCTCACTTAAAATCTCAAATTTTCCGAAAACGATGCTGCCAGACAGATCTCTGGTAAAGACGGCTCCGTCATTTGTTTTTATAATACAAGCTATATTGAAGTTGCGTTCGTCCCGCTGCATTCAATTGAAGATTGGTCTGTTTAGTTGTCTATACAGACAGCTAAATTACTGAACTGCTGAAACTGACAATCCGCTGAAGACTGCGGCTTTTTTCTTCTAACAGCCATGAGATTAAGAGTGAGATCGGAGAGTTCTTGTGTTTCTCCTGCAACGGGTCTTATTGAACTTAGCTCCAACCGCATGGACTGTATGACTAGTATTGCAGTGTTATAGGCAATGAAAATGGTTTTGTAAATTGAGCTTAAATTTTTTTAGACTTTGGATTAGATCACGAGGGGTACGTAGTGTTGACTTTATTAGAAGAGACCTCACCAGCTTAACGTTAAGGTTCAGTATGCCAATTGAATTGAAACATTACTTGACCATTCACTGAAACGTCACTAGACAGTCGCCGTATAGTCGTCATAATAAAGTCAATCTCGTTTTTTGTCGAACCGTCGGAGCGCAGCCAGGTCCACTTCCTGTGATGCCACTTCTGGAAGAAAGAGTTTATCATAAAGAGTCCTTTTTCTCCATGAATTCGGCCGGCTGTTGGCCCTTTAGGTTCCGTTGCCCTATTCTGAATTTCCCCACTCTCCTTTTTCTCTTGTGCCTAGTTTTGCGTCGAAGTCTTCCATTAATATCGTATAGTGTGTTTTGAACGAATACATGGCTTTAGAGATATCCTCATACATTTCTTCTACCTCCTCATTAGGATGTGTATGTGTGATGTCTGTTAAACCAGTGTCATACAGGTTTAACACACATCACACTTTAACGACACACTCAAAATATTTACAACGTTGTAACGAGAGACTTTTCTTCCCCTCTTCGGAACTCATATAATCCTATACTATCGCAACTCAACTTGTCTATCTCTTCTTTTAGCCTCAGGATCTACTCGTCAGTCCTCAGGGTTCGTGCGTTAAATGTTGCCAGGTCGAGTCATCATAGGTGACAACCAAACCTCCACCTTCCTCACTGTTACCATGATCGCCAACGTAGCTGGGAATAGCGGGGCCGCTGAGGACCGGGGGGAATTTATTTGTATTCCTTCATTCGTAATCATGCGATTCTCAGATCGACTAATTTCCTTCCATTTTCAATTAATGCATTGGTAAGGATTAGGAAGACCATAGAAAAAATCACCGAACACTGAAGCTCTTTGTCTACTCATCAGCTGCTGTGAATATGTTTATGGGCATGGTGAATTATCTATCCAAATTTATTCAAAATTATTCGGATAGTGTGTGTGTGCTTCGATGTTTATTCAAAAAGAATTCTGAATGACTGTGGGAGCCACATCACTCAGATGCTATAGACAATCTTAAAAGTAAAATTTCATCTGCACCATGTTATGCACCCAGTACCGTGGGGTCGGTGGACGCAAGTACCAGAGCGCTGGTAGCGGTGCTGCTGCAGGCCGGCCGTCCAGTGGTTTGCTTCGTTAACGCTCAAAGACACTCAGACCCCGTATGCACAAATCGAAAAAGAGATGCTGGAAATAGTGTTTGCGGCAGAAAGTTTTAAACAGTGTATTTATGGCAGGTCAGATGTTATCGTACAAACTGATCACAAGTCCTTGGAGACATTGTTCAATGCCTGTGCCTTATCATCTGTACCAATACGATTACAACGTATGATGTTGAGGATACAGGGATACGATTTCAAGGTGGTGTATACTCCGTGCAAGTATATGTATGTTGCCGGAAAAAATAGATAGAGTTCGAAAGGCGACAGAGATTGATGAGAAATGTCAGTTATTAATTTAGTACATATTAAACGGCTGGCCAAAAATTAGCATGATGTTTATAAAAACGTTAGAAAATTTTGGTCATATTGTGGAGATCAATATGTGAATGGGTATGAAAAAAATATTGTATATTTATTCCGCAAAGTTTACGAGTCGAAATGATTGTAAAAGTGCACGAAGGCCACCTACCTATTCATAGAGAGATGTAAGCGGCGCGCGCGTGACGTAATGTTCTGGCCAGGGCTGTCAATGGCCTGTATGCACCGGCCCCGCGCGGGAACCACTACTTCAACATATCGTACCCAATGCACCTTGGCAAAAACTTACCACAGATATTTTTGAGTATAAAAAGAAGTACGTCGTATTAGTAGACTATTTTTCTAATTATGTTGAAGTTCAAGAAGTAAATAATATAAACAGTAGAACAATTATCCACTCTATGAAAGAACAATTTTCGAGGCATGGCATCCCTAGCGAGCTTGTTACTAATTAAGGAGCGGCGTATAGTTCGCAAGAATTCAAAAAAATTCCAAGGGTATTGGAGGTTAAGCATGTGACTTCATCACCTCATTACCCTTAGTCAAATAGGAAAAGCGAACGCACAGTACAAACTATAAAAAATCTACTCAAAAAATTCGTTGATTCTGGCGATGATTTCTTTATAAATGTATTGAACTATAGAAGTACGCCCAGGTAAGGAATGGATTCTCTGGCTCAAATTCTGATAGGAAGACGTTTGTGTAGAAAACTACCGATTAGTGAAATGAAAAAAAAATGAAAAACGGTTGATAAAAATAGAAATTATAAAACGTTTATGCAACAGAGAAAATATAATAAATTACATTATGATAAGTCGGCCAAACCGTTGCACTTTATTACCAGGAAATAAAGCACTTTTAATTGATAACGGAAATATAAAACCCGTTTCTATTATAAGACCGTCGGAGGAACCACGTTCGTTCATAGTACGGGATTCGCGTGGACGGCGATTGATGCGCAATCGCCGTCACCTGATAGCACGATATGCAGACAGCGATGCAACGCGCTCTGCCGCCTGCGCTGCAGCTGCTTGCTGCTACTGTCGGCAGTCGAAATTGTACCTTAGCAACTGAGTTAACAACCAAGGCCGTAACTTCAAATATAGAACTGTTTGGCAATTTGTTTTCGACAAATAGTAAAACGAATACTGGCGGTCATAGCCCATATATTAATCCTCCCTTAAACCAGGTCAAAAGCACGACTTATGGCTAAGATGAAAGATCCGATGAAAGAAAAAATATAATAGATATTTTGTATAAAAGTTATTTATAAACAAGTTTCTGCATATTAAGTGTATATTTTTAAGTCTGTATTCTGTAGATATTGACATAACATCGTTTATTTTATGTTTACTTCGTATTATTTTGTAACTTCAATTAAATACCGTGTCCGTTATTATGTGAAGCAAAATAAATAATAAAACAAAGAAGTGTTATAAAAAATATAATATAAAATGTGTTCAGGTTACGGCTAGGTGGCTTCGTTATAATGATAAATATATTAATGCTGTGTGAGTTTGTATTTGGTAGGTATAAGGTCCATTTCTACAGTTGAGTTTTTATAAAACATTTTTGTACTTGTGTTCAATATAAAAGTGGAAGGATTTACTATATAGTGGGTAGATTAATATTGTGTTGTGATGTGTATCGAGACTGTACCTTCAAAAAAATAATAAAAGTAATGTTGAACCAGCTAGCGTTTATTTTATTACAATACCGAAATTAAAAAAAAAATGTAGCGTTGATATGCACTAAGAGAATAATATGTAAAAGGAACTTATAGGTTAACGATGTTTGTTTTGAGATTTCTGTGTCATGAAATAATACGATAATAAGTGGTAAAATTAAAACTTTTGTATGGATTTTATTTGTAAGTTATCTCTATATTTTTACTTTTTTGGCATTTATATATTATAGTTTAATAATGTAGAAAAAAGACTGCGGAACCCCATACATATGTTCACGGACCACATGTTAAGAAACACTGGTTTATAATTTATAATATAGCCCACATTTACCCACATTTGTTTATATTATAAACAAATTCGTCATTATTTTATTGTTTGTTTATGTTTTTTATATTATAAATTTAAGGGTCTCTTCAAGGCAAGAGTGATATTGAGAGTGATGAGATTAATGAATAACTTCCTTAAGTTAATCAGGTCCCTTTACCATCTTCGGCTGCATCACTACTTATCACCAAATGGGATAGTAGTGGAACACTGGCATAGAATAGTTATAATTAATTTGTAAATTGCTATCTCTCTAATTCGCATACTTTTTATGGAAGTACACAACATAAAAAAAAATCTTTACTTTCAGGAACTCTGTTCTCGTTAGCCGTGTTTAATAAATACTTAGGCTGGCATGATTCCATTCTAGGGATAATTTCCACTGTAAGCAAAATTTTAGCATCTTTTTTATATTGTTTTGCACCCAACGAGCAGATATTTTTCCTTGGTAAGTAGTTTCAATGTTTATTTAATTATACAAATCCATTCGTTTAGTGATCTCCATCGATCGACATGGCTGAAGTCTTAATATACTGAGATAAATGAATTTGTTTGGCGGGCGAGTTGGTTACCGCAGTTTTTAATTATTTTGAGTTTTTTGCAGGTAGATGCTACTGCCTTTTTCCTTTTTCATTTGCCTCTATCGTGTCTTACGATACCCACGGTATTATGTGTAATGCAATTTATTAAAACGCAGAGTAATGTTGATTTGCTTGTACCATGGTTACCTTTTATTCCCTTTTTCTTAAGGGTTTTTATACACCATTAAAATACAAATTATGTGGCAACTGCAGCTATGGACACAGTATCTTCAAACGAAGAAAGCGACAGAAGCACTTTCTTATCCACTCTCTTACTTTTTAAACTGACTTGACTGCCTCGTTGGTCTAGTGGTTGTAGTAATGCGACTGGTGATCATGAGGTCCTGGGTTATTAAAAATTAATTATCGAGTTTTTCCGTCAAGAAATTCTCAGTAGCTGCCCGAAGTCACGAAGTTGACGGTGTCTCACCCCCGTGCCTCGGAGAGCACGTAAAGCCGTTGGTCCTGCGCCTAATCTCTCCGGTCGTGTCGGTTTACCGTCCCATCGGATTATGATAGTGAGGGAATAGAGAGTGCACCTGTGCTTGCGCATACACTTGGGCACTATAATCCTGTTCTGCGCCGATGGCTTGCCTCCGTTGAGGCAGGCCGCCGTGGCCGCAATTCGGTCTGGAGGACATTATTCCTTTTTAAACCAGAACTTAGCTACTGGCGAACTGCTAGTTGTTAGCAGAAATAGGTTATGATAGAAATGGTAGGAAAACATAAATGCGCATGAGAGCTTCGCCAAAACCATTAGACAGTCTCACATAGTTTGGCTGTATATCGAAATTCCACAATATATATTATATTTGGCCTCTATAGATTTACGGACCCAGATCATTGATACACCACACACAGTGGTAGTAAGGCCTTTTATCAATTATGATATTATGCTATACACAGTTCAAAGTATTAATATTTTTTCTTAGTAATACTCTTAATTATTTATCTATTTTTCAGTTTTATGTATGTTTCAGCACCATTGGTTGAAATTTTAAGTGGAACGTCACTGTTGGCGCTAAGGTCAATACTTTCAAAATTGGCAGCGGCCCATGAATTTGGTAAATATGTATTATAAAAGAAGTTATTATTGGAAATAAATTGGTCATCATGACCTAAACTCTATCTTCTACCTCCGCCATCTGTCAGAGGATATAGAATGTTTTGAGTATTCCTATTAGTTGAATCCTAAAATATCTTTGAATGCGATAGGATAACAAACTTGTACGCAGTCCATCTTATGGCAAGTGGATAATATGGCTCGTAGACGGTAGTATTCTCTATTATCAATTAAGAATCATTACCTGGTTGAAACTCCTCGTTACCACTAACAAAGAGCCTCCGACTCTCGTCACTTAGCTCACGCTATTTCACGCTAGTATAGTGAACAATCTCATTCCACCCCGAATAGGCTCCCGCCTTGTTGTGGTTAGGGGGGAGGCTTATTAGCCGTGGCTTAGTCACCCATATATAGCCGTGGTAGATCAGATGGTAAACGCTCGCTGTAAATACAACAGAACTCGAGTAACCCGGGTTCGCCCCCCCCGGCCCAATTAAATTGTTAATTGAAATTTTAAGTGCTGATTTGCCACGTGCTCGACGGTGAAGGCATCTTGAGAAAACCTGTATGTCTGAAGAATAAGAAAAAAAATATTTCGAAGACATGTGAAGTTCGCCAACACGCATTGAGGGAGCGTGCCTGATACTTACTTGCCCTAAAACTCTCTCAGAAATGAAGGTAGGTCTGTGCCCAACAGTGGGACGTATATAGGCTGTAACTTTACTTTACTTACTTTAGTCACCCATGGTGAACATCGAGGGCACTGGGATGTAGGGACAAGAGTGACGGTATTGCGAGGAATCGCTCTCCCTACCCTCCGCAGCTGAATCTTGGTTGTCGGCGGAGCTATAGACCAGATCCACCGTTAGGAAGACTAGTGTTTCTGAGTGCTCCCTTTTCCTGGATCCACACTGGCTTACACGCGTCAGGCGCGAAGGCTTCCGTTGCGTAGGTGAACTTGCAAGCCGCTGAGAAAGGCGCTCCATGTGTCCTGGTCCACTTTATCTATTTATTTATTCATTTATATATATATATATATATATATATATATATATATATATATATATATATAAAAAATATATATATATTAAAATATATAAAACTGGAGAAGGAGTAGTCCGCTCCCGAGGTGGGGCCGCGATTGTGAACGAAATCATTTGCATGGCCCTGCCAATATGCGTCTAAGGTGGATCTGTGTGTAGAGTTTGAATCAAGCGCTCGTTACAGAAGCGTCGTTCTATTATGATGAATAGATGTCGTCCACAATCTCCGTTGGCGAGGACAAATACTTTTATATTTCTATCTTATGACATTGGTATAATTAGCTATACTAAATATGCATATAGCGCGCACGCTGCAACAATTTCAACAACCATTGTGTTTTGCAAACGCAAGCGACCTAGTGCGGAGCATTGCGAATAATTGCGCGAGTAGAGCATTGTGCGGGCAGAGAGGGCAACATCGCGGCAACGCGAGTTGTAGATACATAGTGTGGAGGAGTCATAAGCAATAAATTTATAATTAGTGGCAAGTTGATATGTATCAGCTTTAAAGAATTGTTGAACCACCTTTGCGAAAATGCACTAAATGGAACTACTGTGCGATTTAGTGTCAGAAGTCATAACAATTTATATACATATTTATATGAATATTTGTAAAAACTAGTAATAATAATAGGGTATCCGATTATTATTACAATTTTTGTTTTAATAATGTAACATACAAGCTAATAACCTATCTGGTAGTGTGTAGATTCTGCAGCCAACGGATGTACCAAACCTCTCGGACTCTTAGACAAAAAAAACACCAAATTAATATAGTATATATTTCAACGTTCTAATATATAATAGTAAAATATTTCAACGTTCTTATTTCAGGTAAAATTAACTCGTTATTCGAATTTACTGAAAATCTGATGCCACTGGTATATGTTCCGCTGTACACAAAAACGTATGCCGCAACTATGGAGGTACTGCCTGGAGCAGTATTCCTTTTAGGAGCTTCCATGACTCTTCCAGCTTTATGTGTATTCACGTAAGTGCTATTATTTTACAATATTATACAAGTCAAATATTATTATTTAAAAAACAACAAACCCGAAAAAGCAATAACTTCCCTCATGTTAAATTTTGCGATCGCCATTTTTTTAATTTAGCTTTTGTACCGTCGCGTTGTAGGAATATCCACTATCTCATATCGGAGTGTATATATTCAAATTTGCGCAAGTCAAAATCGCTCTGGAACTGCGTAATATTGAAGCATACTACAATGTTCTCTGTGTGCGTAACTGCTCGAGGTGGAGCGAGCGCAAGGTTACTAGTTGTATCCAAAGATTTTTGTATCTAGCACGAATCATCTTGATACCATTGGAACTAAAAAAATTAAATAATTTCCACATAATAGCTTATGAGGTCGGAGCTAATACATAGTGTATATAAGAATAAATATCCGATCTAGTCTTGACATCGGAAGCTTATATGTATAAATTATTTTATTCTTTTAGTAAATTTAAGTCGGCTTTTCTTTTTTATTCTATTGAGTAGACTAAGGAATGTCACAACACCAAGCTAACAACTAGAAAGGGGTAAATAATATATGTTCGAATTTAAAAATATGTATTATATAAAATAGATTTGTTGGATATACGTTTATGCTGTTTCATAATGTTATCTTTAATATCGAATCGGATGGAACCCGGGTTGCTCGCGTTTTCGGTGAGCACTTCGCCCTTGAGTTACCATAACTCATATCTTATTTTGTTTCTATTTTATAATAACGTTACCTTCACACTAAGAATGTTTCCTAGGTATATTGTGGAGACAGTTAACATAAATTTAACAGGAACAAACATCCAGACCCAGAATAATTATTTGTAGGTTTACAAATTTTTGTTCCGTGCGGGAATCGAACCCACAGCACTTAGAATTAAACTGATTGCTAAACCACTCCGCCACCAAGCCGACAAATATATCTTTTATAGGGATAAATATTTTAGTTATAAATTGCTTTTTATTAAATAAACTTGAAAAATTATTAATAATTAATTTAAATAATATATTTTAACAAAGTATCATTGATTGCATTGTGTTGCGCGAACTATTATTTATTCTGTGGATGCGCCTTCATCGTTTCCGATAGTGCGTCCATATAAAATCGGGAATATGGTTTTAAAATCGGGACAGTTACAATAGTTACAAAGAAAAGTTTTTTTGTAGGTATTGTGGTCGCTATTAGTTAAACTGGTTTTTTGACACAATTCGCAATATGTTTTATAATTATATAGACCTGATCAAATGAACGAATAATTTTTGGTTCTAACATCGTTGCTGACTGAACTTTCTGAATAATATAATTGTGAAAATAGTAATAAATCTTATGAACTCACAATTCATGCATTTCAAAGAGCCTTTTAAAAAACGGCATAGTTCAAACGGTTTTAATACCTTACACCTTGATAGCCTAGATAAAATTCTTGCATCGGTTTTACTAAATGTACTTATATAAGCAGCAGCATTTTAGTTACATACTATACTGATTATTATTACTATATATAGCGCAAACCGGCGATATATATCAGGCAGTGAGACAAAAAACGAGTAAACATGATTGATATCTGCATCTTGCCATGCCAACATATTACGCGCAGAGCAAACTTTGATGTTGCCTATTTAGTCCAAGTTTGGTGAGAAAATATGCAAAGCAAAAGTATTTTAATGTAGTAGCAGCTTACAGATATAATTTTGCTGTCAAAATGATCGATCGAAGTATAGACTAGGGATGTTAATGAAAATTCGGGACATTTGGCGTCCCAATCAAGGATAAATCTGGACGTCCTGCACAAATTGAGACACTTGGCAATACTAGCATACGCTATTGGTGTGGATTAACACGAAAGCTGGCGGTAGCAGAGAAAAGTGATACACCCTAACGTTGGGAAGACCCGGAGCCTACTGAATCGGACGGCGTCTGCGCGTAATGATTTACAGTATTTTTAAAATATTCATATAAAATAATTTACTACATAAAGCGAGCTCAAATTTTTTTTTGATATTTAACATTACTTTTTTTGATAAAATAATTAAAATACATAAGTTTATATCCCAATACACGGAAAAAAAAGACATTGAAGTGGACAGTCTTGGTGATTTAATATTTTTTTTTAATATTAAATCGAAATATTTTCGTAATTTAAGCTTTGTTATATACTAAAAAATATATATTATGATAACGCTTAAAATAAAGTATTTTAGCTTGTAATAATGGTTGTATTCGACCTGAAAGATAACTCTGACGCATATTTTCGTAAAACGCTATGAAGGGATTGTCTTCGCTCTAAAAACCGTTATTTAAAACTATAATTTTCCATTGCAATGCATTAAATAAAAACTTTATCTTTCTAAATCTGTAATTTTTTGCAAATAATCTGCTCACATAGTTATGACATCGCCCTTGAAAAACCCCCTAAAACATGAAGTTTTCGACGCAAATCGAATAAGCTCTCTTAAAAGCCGACCGAGAAAAACATAGAGTAGCTTTGTCCTAATAATAATTAGAAAATTAAAAACCTGCGCAACAGACGCCCCCGTGTCCGAAGCATGAAGGCCATGGGGCCAAGACAAACGAGCACTTAGCAGTACTAGCCTTCCTGACCCCAACGGTGGATCTGGTTCCGTTCTATAGCCTCGCCGCTAACCAAGATTCGATTGCGGAGGGTAGGAAGAGCAACGCTTCGCAATACCAACACTCCTCTTTCCTCGCAGCCCTACCACCACCGCATCAACGGTGCGGCCCCGTTTGAGTTGCGGAGGATAAGGCAAGTTGCGCATCGCCATA